CTGCCATCTTTGTCGGCTTCGACAAACCAGCAATCCATTCCAGCATCAGCACCACCAACACAAAAGAGGAAGAAGGCAACATCCGAGTTTGAAAAAACTTTACTACAATATTTGAAAAGCAATCAGTTAGAGTTAGAAAGTGAAGATATAACCTTTTTCCAGTCATTACAGCCTACCCTTAAGAGATTTACAAATTACCAGAAAATGTTGTTTCGGACTAAAGTAATGCAAGTTATCATGGAGATTGAAATGCCAAATATAAATTATTCAATGTCAGGAAGTATGTCAGGAAGAATATCTGAAACGACACCACTAAGTACTCCTAGTCCATATGATATGGGCAGTGGTATTCCCGCCAATACTAGTGTGTTTGAGAGCGACATAACTATTCCTGCTTACAATTCGACAAGCTACGGGTCTGGTCCCATTGATAATGCGGCTATATTAGAAAGCAACACAACTATATCTACCGATACGCCTGTTATCGAATGTTATACACCTAGTTTTGCTCATAATACGACTGAATCTGAGACACATGAATAATTTATTGTCTTGCGAAATTATTATTAACAGTGGTCGCCTAGTACTCGAAATTCGACCATAATAAATTTCAATTTACCACTTTAGATGTCTATGGTGAACATATAAAACTTCACACTGGCTAAATGCACAAACCAAAAGAAAGAAACAAACTCTATATCAAAAGTATGCATGTAGCAAATACTTGTTTGTGTGTGTCAAATGCATAGTAGTGTGCGTAATGTTTTATTTATCCATTTAATGTACTTTATAAGCATTATTATTGAAAAATATTAGCCGTTTGCACTTCTCCTACATATAAACTATAAGTGTGCCAAATTTCATACTCCTCCGTCCTCGCAATTTTCGTAAAAAGGGGTCCAAAGTTTTTGCTTCACGTATTAATATATAGATTATGAAACCTTCAATTTTAATATATTTTGAGTGTAATAATCATTGTTCTATGACATGCTTCAAATATATATTTCTGATTATATTATCATATCTTTTAACAGAGTCTGGAATAGGAAAACGTCAAACGATGAGAACTGGTGAATATACACAGCTAGAAGAAACACTTTTTTCGTGGTTTTTACAAGAGCGTCGACGTCACACACCGATAACTGCTGAAGTGTTGCGGCAAAAAGCACGTCAATTCTATGAGAAAATTTATAAGAAAAATGATTTCAGAGCTAGTGAAGGATGGCTTTCAAAATTTAAGGCAAGATTTGGAATCAGATTGTTGACCATAACTGGAGAGAAATTATCTAGCAATGAGGCTGCCGTATCACCATTTCTTGAAGTTTTTAAGAAGAAAATCGAAGAACTTGATTTGACGGCGGATCAAGTTTACAATGCCGACGAAAGTGGCTTATTTTGGCGACTTTTACCACATAAAACGTATGTTCACAGAAGTGAAACGTCTGCTCCAGGCAGAAAAGTATCTAAGGAGCGCATAACTGTTATGCCTTGTTCTAATGCAACTGGCAGTCATCAGTTGAAGCTTTTAGTTGTTGGAAAATCTGAAAACCCTAGGCCATTCAAGAACATCAGTCTCCCGGTTGTTTATAGGAGTCAAAATAAAGCCTGGGTAACCAAAGACTTGTTTTGTGACAGGTTTCATAATGTTTTTGTGCCCGACGTGAAAAATTTTTTAAAGTCGCGAAATTTACCACTAAAAGCTCTTCTTGTCCTTGATAATGCTCCTGGACACGGCCCAAATGACGAACTATCATCTAATGACGGCTGTATAAAAACAATTTTTCTTCCTGCTAATTGTACGCCTCTACTCCAACCAATGGATCAAAATGTAATACAAATGATGAAAAACAATTACAAAAAGAAGATTTTACTTGACGCTATAAGTCGGGAGACAAACATTTCTGAAACTCTTAAACAGTTGAATATAAAAGATGCAGTTTTTACAGTTTCAGATGCCTGGGATGAAATTGGAGAACGAGCCATCAAATCATCTTGGAAAAAACTTTGGCCTACCATTAGTGAAGATGATAACACTTGGGAAGAAGAAGATCTGATTCCATTACAGGAACTAATACAGTTAGCAACGATGACAAATGCGGGTTTAAGACGTGAAGATGTCGAAGACTGGTTTGTAGAAAACCCAGAAATATATGAGCCACATTTAACCGACGACGAGCTTGTAGACAAATCCTTTGAACCGGATAACTCATCAGACGAAATATCGTTGCATGTAGATTGCACTGTCAAATCAGAGGACGCTTTGAATGGCGTAGATATTTGCATTAAATGGGCTCAAGAAAATGGAATGTCATGCGATATGGTTAAAAATTTAAGGAAAATGCGTGATCATGTTATTACGAAGATTTATTCTGGTAAAAAACAAGCCAAATTAGACCAGTATTTTTCAAAACCTGAGTAATCAGTTAATGTGTCATTTATTTTTAAATTCAAATAAATATGTACGTATACATGTATTTAACTTCATAAGTTCATAATAAATACAATACAAAATTACTATGGTTTTTTATTGTTTTCCTCAATTACACATTTCAATATTTTGAAAAAAAAAAATTAACAGCTTGTATTTTTATAATTTTTTGCATTTATAATGCTATTCTATATTACAGATACAATTTATACTAGAAAAATAAGGAGCCCTAGACTCGAACCTGCACCTTTGGGAACCGGCCCAACGCACTGTCCATTATACCATCGAGACTCCACAAGAGTTGTTGAAATTTTCTAGTATATTATAACTTTCACTGTATGCAAGTGTTTCTCCATCAATGCGAAGAAATATCTTCAACATCCGAAAGCAACATTTTTACAAATGTTTTAAACAATCTTATTTTTCTAGTATAAATTGTATCTGAATTTAACAGCTTGTAAGCTTAAATACAAAAGTTTAGCCAATTTTTAAGTTGAGTAACTTACCTTATAGTAACTGCTAAACGCTCCGTAGGACGTATTGCGATTCGTCGTAAACTGGATACAGCCAACTTATGTTCAATTCTTCCCAGCAACTCGTCAAAAGATCGAAGGGACATGCGGAAGTAGTTCTTAAATTTGCGATGGTTATCTCGGAGATTTTGAAAATTGACATTAAACATTCCAGTGAGTGATCTAGTTTCAAGATATGGATCTACTCTGAATTGTTTTTTATATTTTTTATTTTTGAAAATGATATAAGCGACGAAAATTTTTGGGACGTTCATATTTGTGCACGACTTTAGCCACTGGCGACACGCACAACACTGCAGCAGCAAACGATATCTTTGTCCTGCGTGTGGCCCGGAGCGTGCTATCATCACCCGCATGCGGACGAGACCCGCGTGCGGGCTAAAATACGCGTAACAGGAAAAGGGCTTTAAAAACAGTGCTTTTTCTAATACAGCTTCGAATGACAATAGTTCTGCCTCTGACAGTATCTTCCTTTGGATACTTTCATCTGCCAATCCACACACTAACCTGTTTCTCAATGCTTCTTTTAAGATGTCTCCTTGAAAACCGCATGTTCTGGCCATTTCCTTAAGTTTTACAACATAACTTTTAATAGACTCTGCGGATTCTTGATCCGTTTTATAAAATTTAAATCGCTCTGCAATTAAATTTGTGTTAGGCGTAAAAAATTGTTTAGCCAAATCCAATAATTGCTCGATGAACAGACGTTCATGGGGCTTCTTGGGGCTCACCAAATTCGCAAGAATCTTGTATGTTTCTATCCCAATAAAAGTCAGTAACAATGCAACAGTTTTTTCAGCTTTTATGTTGTTGACGATCTTGTACTGATCAAACCTTTCGACCCAATTATTGAAATCCCCGTTTATGGGGTCGAAGTGTTCTATAAGGCCAATGTATGCCATTCTCGTCGCCAATTTTATATATATTGAAACAATCAGTAATGTGTGGCTGGATATTTAATCAACATAATATAATTCATAATACAAAAGTACAATATTGTTACAAACGCCAGACGTCGTCTCTCAAACAAAATTAACCAAAGTGTATCTTATCAATAACAAAAATCATAGATTAAAAATCACGACATGGATTAAAGTTTGTACATAACACACCCTTAATATTTCAATAATGTACACTGATTATAGAGAAAAGTGCCAAATTCATTCAGTAAAATAAGAATCATTTGAGAAATATCGAAGAACGGTCCGGTCTATACTTCAGATGGTTGGGCACAGGTAGTTAAATTAACTAGAGAACCAATCCAAGGTCTTTTGAGGTGAAAACTCTAATTCACGAAGATTTCAAACATTTTATATCTAGCAAACAATATCTAAGCAAAGAGTGCAATAACCAAAAACTTGAATTAAATGAAGCAGTTTGGCTGCAATATCAAAAGAAGCCTCTTGTACAAGAGTATATCTAAAATAAGCATAATTATGATAGAAACACACCTTTTTTAGAAATACATCTAAAAACTAAAAAAGGAAAAGCTGTATCTCACGAGTACCCCTTTCCAGTATATGCAGAAAGATTGCAAATCTCTGTTAATAAAAAAAAATCTTTTAAAACTTTGTCATCATCATATAACCAGCCTTTTTACGTCCCCACTGCAGGGGCTCAGGCCTTCCTTATGGATGGTTAAGGTTCATAACCCTCTACGCTAGCCCATGCGGATTGGAGGGTATTAACGACTGCAAATGCAGCCGGGACCAACGGCTTAACGTGCCTTCCGAAGCACGGAGTAGTTCGAGATTATAATTTTTTGGTCACCCATCCCGTGACCGACCCTTGCGATAGTTGCTTAACGACTACGATCGCGGGCCGCGGGGCTTATCCACTACGCCACCGAGCTAAAACTTAAGGATGACCAAATACTAAAAATATACCATTCCTTTTACCGGTACCGGATGTGAATGAAGAAAGCGAACAGTGGTCTTACTATCCACTGTCTTCAACGAAGTACCATTAAATACTTTTTGATTTTCGATTAGTAATTAAAATAAATATTTTTTTCTATTACTTATTTCTTTATTTTTGTTACCCATCTTGCTATTTTATGGCACTTACAAATTACAGATTTGTTGATATTTCACCAACTCTTTGTTTTTTTATATTAACTTGATATGCTACTTGAATTGCTATTCATGCAGAGCTAACATACTCGAGATAAACCTTAAAATATATACTAGTCAAAACAAAATAAGGGCCACTTGTTTATTTTGACGTTTGAAGCAATATAATAAATTTTTAGATATCGTAACCGGTTAAATTTTTTTGTGGCGTTACATTAAGTGTTGACAAACATTATGAGAGGATACCTCTCACTTAATTTTTGAAGTGGTTAGAATTTGAATTCGAAGTCGACCTTTTGAGTCATTGAAACTGTCGAGTTCTTGGTGAACTGCAGGAATTCCCTTTGTTAGTACGTAATTATAATTTAGGGCCATAACGCTGATTCATGAGGGCCATTCGCAGCTTTCTGTAGCTCTACAACTGGGTTTTTCACGGGTGGCAATTCAGAATGCTTGGATTAGGTTTCAAGAGACTGGGAGCGTTACCAGAAGACCAGGATCATGCAGGAGTCGAGCAACCACATCACAGGAAGACCGCTACATACGGTTAACTGCGCGCAGAGAGCGAGTCGTCACCGCCCGCTCCTTAGGAAACCGCTTGCACCAGGCGACTGGCACCCGCGTAAGTGACCAAACGATAAGGAATCGGTTAAATGAAGAGCAACAGTTCTCTAGACGACGAGTAGTGCGAATTCCATTAACATCCGTGCATCGTGCAAGGCGATTAACATTTGCAAGGCACCACCAGGAGATACAAATCAACCGGTAATTAACGAACGACAGCTCATCAACGTGCTAAAGACAAGCTGGGAACAAATCCCACAAAAGACAGTACGACACCTGGTGGAGAGTATGCCTTCGAGGCTTGAAGAATGAGTTCAAAAAAGGGGAGGACACACACGTTACTAAAAAAAATCATTTAAAAAACCTTCAGTTTTTTTTTATTTGACACTTTTTTTTACATTGTGTATTTTAGGTTAAAATGTCGATTTTTACTACTGTGCTACCGTTAACGCATTTGGATTGTTTTTGTAATTGTTTATTGTGTTTTAATCGAATTTATTCTGCTCTAATACAATGGAATCAGGCTTTGTCAAGGCAAACAGTTAAATTTTGCTAAAATTTGATGTTGAGCGAATTCCTCGCAAATAATAAAGAATTTTGCTCATCTGAATTCAAAAACATCAAAACTTCCTTGTAAGTATATTTTGTGTAAATTGATCTTCAACATTATATATAATTTAGACCTCATTAGAGCCTACGTTTACAAACGGTAAACTTTCATTGTTTACTTTTGAGGCTAGCTCTTTATCAGCATGTAATTTGCTAATTAAAGAGTTATATCTAATAAAACTACTAAATATTTATAACTACAGACCACCTACTAGTATTTTTCCATTTACTATACACCTAATATCTGATAATCACCAAGTCAGTGTATATATACTTATTCTAATTAATTTCAATTCTTTCAGGTCTTCGAAACCATTTCTATTGGCAGAAATCAAAATAATCAAAAGTAGGCACTACCTTGAAATTTATATCTGCAAAAGATCTATCTAAAGGTACCCCTATATTACCTTCTAAATCTGCTGTTCTCAAAAAGTTTGTAGAAGAAGGAAAAAAGAGAAAATTAAGTAACTGTGAGATACTAAAGTATCAACATTTGTTGTGTGTTGGCAAAATAAATACTTTATTATTATTATTATTATTAACATTTTGTCTCAATGCATCAACTTGTGCTTACACAAAAAGAAGAGTAATGTGACTTATTTTTAAGTAAAGTAATTTTGACAACTGAAGTTTTATGCAAAATAGAAAATGTAACCAAAGACTAGTTCAAAAATAAGCTTTGGTTTGAACTGAGGTATGGCAGGGTAACAGCTTCCAGAGTTTACGAAGCGAGTCGATGTCAGACTGATGATGGGACTCTGATTTCTGCTATCCTGGGAGGGAAGATACCAGACATACCAACAATGAAACGGGGAAGATATTTAGAAAATAAAGTTAAAGGAGTAGTTTCCAAGAAATTAGGGAACGAGATCAAGAATTGTGGACTGTTCATCTCCCAGAAACATCCAATGATAGCTGGTTCTCCTGATGGAATATGTGGAGAAAAATATACAATAAGTAACAAAACTTATCTAAATTATATTAATAATGGCAAACCCAGCAAGAAATGTTATGCCCACATACAAATGCAAATGCATCTAAGTGGTCTAAAAAACTGCTACTTCTGTGTTGCAGACCCAAAGTTCTCTTTTAATGAAAATGTGGGAATTCTATGTATATCTTATGATGAGCATTTTATGTCAAGCCTTCTTGAAAGTGTTATTTCATTTTGGAAATCCCATGTATATCCCATATTATATAAAAGTATAGAATAGAAAATAAAAAGCAAAAATTTCATGTGTGTTTTATTTAATGAGAGAATCTTGTATATTAATCCAACCACAAGCTATAGTTATTACGTCATCAATAACTTTAACCAAACTTAAGACAGTCATGCGGTTTTAATATGTTGAATTCACGTAACCGTCTTATTACCCGCTCAACATGGATTCGTAAGCTAGCTATTTGTTTTGTTTCTTTTGCTTGAGCTTTAGATAACTTTGTTCCAATTATAACACTTGGAAGTCGTACTAACAGCACACCCATTTTTCTTAAATACACTTCTACATGCTTAAGTCCTCGATCTGCCATGACCCACATATTAGAGTTGTAAACAATTTGCAAAATTAGATGTTTCAACAATGCACGTGCACGATATGGAGGCCGAATAACAGTATTCGGTCTCCATATCCATTTGAAATATACTCGTAGTTTATCAAACCATACAAAATTTAAGGTACTTAAATTTTATTTTATTTTCAAAGGTGAAACAACAGTTACATAAAATTAAATAAACAAACAATAATAAGAAACAGAGAACCAATTATATACTCACACATATAGATCCAAACTATAATAAGGACACAAACCAATGTTACCACTATGTTTATCAAACAATTACACATATTTAAATAATAAAAGAAAAAAAAACGTATCAAAAAAGCCTTCGGTCAAGTTAACAGATTAACAATAATTTGTCTTGCTGAGTCACAGCTTGAACAAAATAGGTCTATTATTACACAAATCATGGAAGCATTTGCCTGCACGGAGTAAAAAGGTATTTTGCCTATAATTTGTATTTGAAATGGGTACATGAATTGGCCTAAAATAACGAAGATTCCTTCCTGGTAAAGCTCAATAATGAAAGAAGCTCGGGGCAATCAATAACGTTAGAGACTATTTTCATTAAAAATATAATGTCAGCTATCATTCGACGGTTTTCCAGGGTTAATAAGTGATGCTTTTTACATAATTCCATATAATCACTGAAATTATATATATCGTCCTCGTGCGGTAACATAAATATTTCAAAAACTTCTTTTGTATATTTTCAATCCTTTCGATATAAACGGCATATCTAGGATTCCACACCTGTGAGCCATATTCCAAGTGACTACGCACAAGACTGCAGTAAAGTACTTTAAATGTTATCACGTTGGTAAAGTCCTTACAGCTACGATATAGGAATCCGAGAGCTTTGCTTGCTTTGGAAATTATAATATTTATGTGCTCATCGAACAACAACTTACTGTCATGCAGTACGCCGAGGCCTCGCATAGATTGAACACGTTGCAAAATAAGCTGTTGAAGCGTGTAATCATATGCAATCATCGTCTTCTTCCTACTGAAAGTCATGACTGTGCATTTAGATGGATTCAGATCCAACATATGCTGACGACAGTAAACTTCGAGTCTGTTTAGATCGTATTGGAGTGACTTAGCATCGTTAAGATCGTGTATTTTAGCATATATCTTCATATCGTCAGCAAAACAGAGAAGACTCGACGCACGAAAACACGCATCAATATCATTGACGAAGATAATGAACAGCAAAGGTCCAACCAGCGAGCCCTGCGGAACGCCACTAGGAATGGATACCCAGCTCGAAATATAGTTGTTTACAACAACTGCCTGACAACGATTATCAACGTACGAGGCAAACCATCGTAATAGATCACCGTGAAAACCAATCAGCCTAAGTTTATGGATAAGGATAGAATGCGGAATTCGATCAAAAGCTTTGCTGTAGTCAGTGTAAATAACATCCACTTGACTACCCTCGTCCATTGCTTTTGTAAGAAAATTATTTAATAACACTAGATTGGATACAGTGGAGCGCCCTTTAAGAAAGCCATGTTGCGACGACTAAAACTATAAATAAGGGAATGATATACCCGATCGTAGACTATCTTTTCTAGTACTTTAGGCAATATACATAATTTAGAGATTGGTCTATAGTTCGAGACTTCTGATTTGGAGCCTTTTTTATGAACAGGAGTAACAAATGCCTGTTTCCAAATAGACGGAACGTAACTTGAAGTAAGAGATTGTTTAAATAAAAGCGTTACAGGCCTGGAGAGCGACCGCGCACAATTAATAAGAAATTTTGATCGTAATTTATCGGGGCCCGCTGATTAATAAGGATTTAGGTTTTTAAGTAATTTGTGTACCTCGTCTACTGTAACCTTCACAAAAGAAATGTCACAAGCGTTATTAGTAGACTCAGAAGGTAATTTAATGGATAAGGATAGGTTATTATTACTATAATTATCTAAGTGAAGAAAAGACGACTTGAAAAATTCTGAAAAAGCATTACATATGGTTTCTCCCGTGTTATAATCAAGGTTTAGGTATTTGAGATTAGAAGGAATTTGCGACCTCCCAGATTTAGATTTAATATGAGCCCAGAATTGTTTTGGATTTTTCACTATTGATGCTTCAATAGACTGCAAATAATGTTTATAAGAAGCAGATTCTAATAATTTAAATCTATCTCTAAGTAATCTATAGGAACTCTGATCTGCGACATTCTTATACTGGGTGTTAGGGGAACGCTTCCGAAAACGAAAACCAGTGATAGAGTAAGTGATTCTGGATACATTGCAATGAAAAAATTATTACTTTATTTTTCAAAAAAAATATGTTATTTTTATTTTTTTTTTCATTTTTAGCGATGTAAAATAAGTTAAGTATTACTATTTTTATCAATAAATTTGTCTATTTATTGATTTTCCATAAAAACGCAATGTAATTAAAACTCGAAAAAATCAGCTGATCGGCGGTAGACGACCCCGAGGGTTCAATAACCTTTGGTACGTTCAAAGGGCACTTTCATTCTCTTTCCTTCACCACTGGTAGAATGAAAAGAGACAGAAGATACGAGTGAGAAACTTCAGCGACATCTAGCGACGAAAAGCTCTTAGTTCTCTACGTTGCTAGTTTAGGTACCCATTTTCCTGTGTTTTATTAAGAAAATGCAATGAAAACGCAATTACTAAAAGTAGTTTTAAAACGGCGTTTTGTTATTTTTTCAAATTGTTATTTATTGATGATCATTCCCTTTCACGCAATAACAATAAGTAAAAACGAGAGCGAAGATACTGCAGGCCAAGCTCGTAAACTTCTAGATACATCTAGCGGCAAATCGCGGCGGTTTTGATGATATAGCGAATGAGAATGATAGATGCAGCGCCATCTAGTAGTGTAAAGCAAAATCAATCGGTAGTGTTTCCGTGTTAAGGGGTGCCACTTTTTAATGAGTAAATATCGTTTTTGAATAACCTACTAGATAAAATGCATGTTCTTCTGGAAAACATTTGTTTTGACTAAACATTTCAAAACGGTTTAGTAACTCTAGTATTTACAAAATTTTTATCTTTGTAAATTTTTAAAAATAAAACTTACATTACATGATTTTGATAAGTGCACTTTTTTATTTACTTGTCTTTAAAATGTGAGCTTTATTTTAATGAGTTTTTTTTACGTTAGCGCAGAAAAGTTTAAGACAAAAATCATTTGATTTTATTCAGAGCATGTAACTAATAACGATATCTTTTAACTCGCATAGTAATTTATTTAGGTTTTATAAAACACAAAAAGATCAGATAAATACATTTCATTAAAATGAGGGGAAGGTGTTAAATCATTTTTATTTCATAAAAATCTAAATGTATAAGAAACTTCATTTCTCCAGAAGTGTGTGTGTATGTGTGTGTGAAATCATTAAAAAAGTAAACTTTATGAAAAACTATTGGGAGTCCCAATTGAATTCTTTCCCAATTCAATTTTAGCATAATTATTTCTCTTGATTCAATTTGAAAACTATAAAAAAGCGGAATAGTTGTTTCTCTTAATAAATACTTACTTTGCATGACTAACCCAATAGTATAATCCTAACGGGTTATTCATGATTAAACGCGATGTTGAATTGTAAAACTTCACTTAGTACTTTTACGACAAACTTTATTTATAAATCTAAACACATAATTAATTACTATTAAAGTTGCTAAGTGAAATGAGTGGCAGCCCTAGATATCACTGCGAACCGCAGTGACCGGTGAGTGTGTTTATAAAAGATGCCGCTTCACTTTTCCGGTCCGTCCGCTTCCGGTTTCTGAGACATGCAGCCGCTACACGTGCTGCCAGCTCTAATTTTTTCCCTTAATTGGGTAATTTTTTTACAGGATAAATCCCATAAAAATTGTATGATATTAAAGAAAGGTAAGCTATCTTTTAAATATCTATCTATCTTTTTAATATTTTTGATTACATGGTATTATTAATTTTTTTTTTTTTTAATTTTTTAGTTGATGTTATTGAAATAACATTAATCACTTTTAAAAATTTATTCGTATAACAATAAGTTAAGAGCGTCGCAAATAAGGTTGGTTAAGTTACGTTAGCCAATGTTCCTGCCAATCGGTTAACAACAACGGTACCCGGATAATAATTTCTCTGTCTTACTTTTATTTATTAGGATACGGTGAAAACAATTATTAATGATGCACAACATTCTTTCAAACATTTTACTTATTTTGTCATAAAAATAATTTAGTATAGCGTACACTTTCAGACAATTTTCATTTGGTTTATTTCGGTATTATTAAAAAATACTTACGATATCAGTTCTTGTAATAATTCACAATGTTAAAACATAAATTTGATCGAACACGTAATGCACAATCCATTCAATTGCAGATTTCATTTCTAAAACAATTTTGGGAATTTGGTGAAAAAAGTTGCAATACTCGAATATTCAGTAGGAAGAACCAAAGAACGAATGATCGCGGCTTCTTTGATATGAGCGAGGCATGAGGCCGACCAGTGACAAAAAACTTTCCATCTCGGTTTGCGAATGCGTATTTTAAAGTTTATTTCGTTAAATTAGTTATCATAGTTTTTAGTTGAGCGTGTTAGGTTTATTTATTTAGTGTTTATTTTAAGTTTTATTAGACAATAAGTGCATCTCATCATGCCTAATGCATATGTGTACAGTGCTCGTGAGTATGGGATCATGGTTATGTGTTTAGGAGAAGCACGTGACAATGCTTCTCTAGCTTTGAGAATTACCGGGAAAGATTTCCTAATGTGCATCATCCAGGAGACTCTCGAACCATTACTGCTGCGTTTCAACGACTGTTGGAGAATCAACCGATCGTTCCGGTGGCGGTCGGCGGTGGGCGACCAATAGACATTGCAGCCGAGGAGCGTATTCTCGATGTGATCCAACGCAACCCCCGTTTGGGCACGAGGACTGCTGCAAAGTTACTGCAGCGGCCAAATGGGCCCTCAGTTTCGCATTGGACGGTGTACAAAGTTTTGCGAAGAAACAGAATGCGGCCTTACAAAATTCATAAAGTGCAAGCTTTGATACCCGAAGACCTACCCCGTCGTCGCACTTTCTGCCGTTGGTTGTTGGATCAACAACAGCGTCTTCCAGGATTCATTCAGCATGTTATCTGGACAGATGAATCTACATTCACAAGGAACGGCATGTGGAATAGACGAAATTCACATTTATGGTCTGAAACCAATCCACGTGCCACTCAAGAGACTGGCCACCAAACCCGATGGTCGTTCAACGTTTGGGCTGGCGTCTTCAACAATGTTATCTTT